TTATGGTATTTTTCTTTTTATGATAAATCGATATTTCGTGCGAGAAAAACGACGAGACAAATCTTTTTTTTTTTCTCCGGATACTCATTTTTTCCTTATCGTATGTTTTCGGATATTTTCTACAGGCCCGGGGGGGAGGGGGAGAGGGGGGGTGGGATCGTAGAACGCGCTTTCCTCTACGGTCGATAGGTCCGCGTGTTAATCACGGTCGCGCATGACGCGCCGACGTAGACTTATAATAACGAATAATTTTCAGATCCGAAAAATCGTATGCTGCAGTCGCCCTATATAATGGCGAGCCGCAGTAAACGCGCGTTCGACCACCAACAACCGTCGTCGCGATGACCGACGTTTGAACGAATAAAAACTGAATAAAAAAAATAAAATAATAATAATAATCTAAATACACATCGATTAGTGGGTACGCCACAGCAGCCGTAGTCTTAACCCGCGCGCGCGTATTTACTCGAGGAATATTATATATAATATTTGAATAGGAACTTGATTCAAGGAGTCACTACTTGAACGGCAAAGTGTTTACAGTGGTGAGTCGACAAATATTGTACCATTCCAATCGTTCCAATATTGTATTATATTTTGTACGCGTTATACCGTACTGTATACGTATATATAGGCACTCGTATTACGTATACGACGTACGTACGTGTCTATAAAGTTCCGGAAACCAATCGAATAATAATAAGGAAAAAAAAAAAAAAAAAAAAAAAACGTTGAAGTTTATAAACAAACGAGAAATTTTACAGCTATGCGAGAATGACGAAGGATAACTACACTTGCAACAATTTGTTCCGAGACCGCCGCACCTAAATGTATTCTCTGTAGTGACCAGCGAGCACACGGGATTACAGTTAAAAACTATACATGTAATATTATTCTCGTTTCCGTTTATCGACAGTTTAATGTAAACGATCAGAAGTAAAATCAATGTACCACTAGGAATCCGTTGAGAAGTCTATATCCAGGACTATATTGCTAGATTTACAGAAATAAATGTATTTCAGGTATACGAGTGTATAATATAAAGTAGAGGCAAACAAATATTAAAAATGGTTTTAAATTAATACTTAAACGATTCCTAAATGATTGAAAACCCGGAAATCAAATTCGCTTAAAATCCTCGGGGATAGTTTCCGGATGAAATAAAAAAAAAAAATCACACCGTAAAACGTTGGTATGTACTGCGAAAAATACATAAAATAATCGTCAGAACGATTTTTCATCGGCCGTTTGCTCTTGTGGTTCCTCCACGGAAAACACGCCTACAATTATTTATTATTAATATTTGATTATAATGATCTCCGCGAACACAACAGCGGTAAGCCTTAGTTATTCATATGCCTATACAAATAAATAAGAAAAACTCAGCAGCGCGATTTCGGACGAGACTGTGGAAAGCTATACACCGTTACGGTATTCATTTCGCCACGGTGCGTGCGCTATTTACACTCCCTCTGCCTGTCTCGAAGAACACTTTCCGCTGCAGATACATTAAAAATGCTCAAAGAGTTTCATCCATCAACATTATAAATAAGTAATTGAACACCGGCGGCGCGGTACTTCAAAGAATTCATTTTTCGATTTTCCCGATAGTTTATTTTCCCGACGGCATTACGAAAAAAACGACGAAACTTATGGAGTAATGGAGTATCCTTTTTTTTTTTAAATCAATTTTAGTTACTTCAAAACTCTATATAAACTACATGCCGACCCATGGATATGCACTGAATTTCTCAACAATTTATCGTTACTATTTAATAATTTAAAAACTATTACGAATGCGACGTTTCTTATTCTTGCAGTATTCAACATTCTTTTTTTCTTTTTTAATATTTAAGTTACTATTTATACGGTATTGCTAGAGACAATTTAATATTTTATTGGAAAAAAAACAAACGCATTTCAGAAATCTGCGATGAACCTTCGTTGGTTTTATGTATAAAAGAAAAAAAAAAATGCTAAACTAGAATCGAAATTGGAAAATTAAAAAAAATAAAAGAACTGTAAACAAGTAAGAGGGCCACGGAGGAAATATTATTATTTTGAAATACTATAAAATAAAATAATATTTGACGAATCTGAAAAATTGCTCGCGGGTGAAACGAAACGATGAGAGTATACATGTATATTTAACAAAAAAAAAACGAGTGGCAAACTCCCTCACTATCATCCCCTAAGAAATATTCCTTGTAAAATAACAAATAACCGAAAAATATAATAACAGAATACTATACCGTACTGCACTGAATCCCAATATAATAGCAAATATTTAAGCATTAAAATAGCAGGGTTGAAGTTTGAGTATTTCGACCCCTAAACAACATAGGTTTGATACTTCGCATTTTCATATTTCTGACCTCATTTAGGGGATCTATATTCAAAGCTAAAAAACACCATCCTCCCGTAATAGCATGGTGAAATTCGTATTTAAATTCAACCCAACTTTCATCACTTCAATCTATCCATAAAACTCTAATTTCTGAGTTTTAGCTAATTTTCGGTTCAAAGATATTTTATACAATAAAACAGAAAAAATTTAATTAAACAGGCTCTATTTCCGTGAAAATTCGAGGAAAAACAGAAAGGTTTTCCCGAACTTCTGTTCGCAACTATTATTTTTGATTGATTCGACTTACTTAGTATAGAATACACACGATCCTTTTACAGTGTCGTGCCCAGGAGAGTTTGTTTTGGATGTATAGATCCCCGTCCATCCGTGTTTAGATAATATACAATGTGAAAATAAATATGAAAATGTGTTAAAACCGTGTTTTTTTTTTTTTTTTTTTCAATGTAAATATGTGACACCTCCCTTTAAAAAATCCTGATCGCGCCACTGTCAGTTTGTCTTTTGTCGACTTCACGTGATGGCCTCGTCGGACGATTGCTCGCCGGGTGTATAGAAAAACGAATTTTCTGATGGAATTTCACGTGACCGGACACAATCACAAAACCCTATACAATATTTACTGACGGGACATTTATTATGTTAATATCCGACGACGGCGAAGTATATAAGGACGACGGCGGCCGGTCTCTTAAAAAAAAAAAAAAAAAATCCCGGGGATACCGGCGGGCAGTTATATCTGAGCGATCAATCTATGGCCGCGGACAGTGTCCACCTCTGCAGCAGCAGCAGCAGCAGCCGGGATTGAGGCGTTCGCAGCGATGGCTTCCCACGGGGTCGCGTCACTTCGGAGCAGGTCTATACCGCGTCAAACGGATAAATGATAATGAAAAGAAAATCCGAATCCGGCCGATGACGACGGCTGTGCGGAGACGAGCGTGCATCGTTCTTGCTATACGTACAATTATTGTAATGTGCTAGTTCCATTTTAGAAAATATTTCGCCGATCGGATCTACAGATACTTAGATACTATTATTATTATTATTATTATTAATATTAGAATTATCTATAGTGTTGTACCTACATAGAAAAACGTACACGACCAATCCTATCGGCTCCCAACACGCCTATAAAATACGCGATTATGCGTGTCAGCGTGTATATATAAAAAAAATAAAAAAAAAATATATATATATAAATAAATTATCTCGCACGTCTTCGCGTATTTATTTATTTATATACTCGTCGGTTGTGGTGCCGTCGACGGTTGGTAGTGGTGGTAGCGATGGTGGCGATGGTGACGTTGGCGTCAAAAAGATTGTAGTTTCGGGATGTACCTACAGACACAGCGGTAACCGCTCGCACGAGAAAACAAATTTACCGGCGGCGGCGCGAGTATTTGCAAACAATGACTTGTACACAACCTATACGTACACAGGCGTCTGTCAAATTTATTAGGCGTTTCTGGGACAAAGAACGACGAAGACTACGTCGGCGGCGGAGGAAAAGATAAAAAAATAAAAAAAAAAAAAATAGTAGTGACCGCGTGCCGCCGACTAGCCGCCGCCGGGAGTAGAGAAGCGGTTTTCCAACCGGTTGTAAGGGGCGACGATCTTATACGTACTACATAGTGAGGCTAGTGAGTGAGATAGATAGATAGATAGAGAGAGAGAGAGAGAGAGAGAAAGAGAGAGAGAATCCGAAATTCCGAAACTGACAAACAGACTAATGGAATATGTATTAGCCGTGTTTTGCAACAGCATCAACCACAGAAACAATGGTTCTGCTGCCGCAGGTCGCGAATAAACAACGGTAATAATATCGTCGACAAACGTTTCGCGATTTTGTTTCGCCAATTTTTTTGTGTACACGCGCCGAGGATCGTTATTGAAACGGAGTTTTTTTTTTTTTTTTTTAGTGTTTAACGACTGAACAACAAAAACGGACAAAAAAACGAATTCATCGAATTTTAAACGCACGTGTACACTGTACCGCGAAACACTATGAACATTTTACCATATGATCTTTGCGACGGCTTTTTTTTTTGTGCTTTTCGTTCTTATAATAGCGCGCCATATCACGCGCTGTATTATTTACAATGTATAGATTTATTCCTTTAACGTATACTTCGCGAACCGTACCCAATTGTATACTATTATATTATATTATCGAACGTGTGTTTAAAAGAGATTTATCATCTATATAATACAGCGTTCGTTTTGAAACTTCAAACAACCGAAACGCAGCTCGCCCGATTGTGTTCGAAACGCAGTGCGCAATATTTAGACACTCGCGGACACAATATACACACGCGAAAATAAGTTATAATGAAATAAAATAAAACTATACATACAAAAATATACGTACTATATTATATACTGGCAACCGCTTGCCGTTTTGCAAAAGAGTAAAACGAGTCGGAAGTTTTCACTACTATCCCATCCCTTATAATAATATATATAAGTGTACGCGTGTGGGGCATCTGAAGCGTATCGAGGGTATAATTCGACTATCCCTTACACGCAAGTATATATTATAAGAAGAAGTTTATTCGGGATAAAAGTTTAAAAGTCGGAACCCACTATGTTATGTACGAGTATACAACAATATAGTGTACGATTTAAGATAAGTTATTTGGAAAATAACTCTGTAAATTGAATATTAATATAAATAAAAAAAATAAAAACAAAATTGAATTAAAAACTGATTCCGACGGAAATATACACGAGTTACATAATGGTAGTTTTGACTGAGTTTACAGAGAATAACGACATATACTTATTTATACTATAGAATAAAATATATAATATTAAACAATTCGAAATTTTCCCTTCTTCTTAATTTAGAAACCGTCCGATAACATTTAAAATTGTAAAACTTTAAATTCAACTCCGCATACACTTTCAACTCTCTGTCAGAAGCATCTGTTTGACACAGAGTAACGACACACAATGCAATGCGACAATATTGCCGTCATACTTCATCATACGCATTTAAACATTCAACTACTGTTACAGAATATACGATTTAAAATCACCCAAGACATTAAAACATTAAAAGAGTACAAGAATTTAAATATTTAGGCGCATTTTATCACGGAAATAATGAAATGACTCCTGACATAGTTTCGCGTCAAGATTACAAGCAGGAAACTGATGTTATTTGGGCCTAACAACGTTATTGCGTTCGAGAGCACTATAAAAAAACTTAAAGGTACGATTGTATTGCACGCTCGAACCGATTGTAATCTATACCTGTGAACCATAATTCATAATGTAACTCAGAAGGTTGACTCATACATAACTTGGAAGAGAAGAAACTACAGATCTTTGAAAGATATGTACTGAGGAGGACCATCGAACCATGTATGGACGATAACACAGACCAGTGGAAAATTAGAAAGAATAAAGAGCTAGAGCAATTTTTCAAAAGACCGGATATATTTCAAGACACAAAGAAAATACGATTTTAACGGGCAGGTAATTTATAATGGAAAGAAGAGTCAATGATAAGTCAGTAGAATCTGGAGGCTCTATGGATAAAAGACCATTAGGAAGTTCACGTAAAAGATGCGAAGATCAGATAACGAATATAACTAAAATGATAGAGACATGAAGGTTATAGAGAAATCTAACCGTAGAGAGCGATCAGTGAAGACTATGAAGAATATATTTGTTAAAACGGTCCCGACAAAGGCCGGATAGACAGAAGAAGAAAACATCGAAATTCGGTCGATCCGTCCTACCAAGCAGTTGCCGAAAACGACGATCTAATCCGCTAAGCTTACGATCGAAACCAACCAGTCCTTTTCGGGATTAACTACCGGAACGATTTGAATGAAAAATGTATTTAATAATTCAAAATAATAAAAAAAATGGGGTTTTCGAGTCGGCGAGTGGGTTTTTTTTTTGAACGGGTCGGGCTTTTTTTCTTCTTTTTTTTTTTAGCCGTTCCGATTATAATATTATTACACGGAGACGGAATCCGAAAAAAGACGCATTTCGTCCGTCGACCTCGGGCCGTCGTCGCCACCGCGTCCGTTTTCCGCGGCACCGCGACCACGGTCAACCGTATAATAATTATCATTATAATATATACGAAATAATATTCTCGCGTATACTCCAGCGATGATAATAATAATATTCGTAATATTATGTTACTGCAATATCCGTACATACGATAGTAATAATTATCGGCGAGGTGCAAACGACACGTGTTCGTTAACCGTCGCGCCGGCCGCTGTCACGTATTCTGTTCGCGAGACATTATAACGCGAGCGCGTGAGTGGCGGCGGCGCAGCTATACGGACCTTGGGACGTTTTTTTTTTTTTTTACACACGCACGGTCGCCGCCGCCACCGATTTATGACGACCGTCGTCTGCGGCAAAAACCGCTTTCGATTAAAATAATAATAACATTATATATTATATATTTATGATTATAATATTCCGCGTGCCTATACATACGTGTAATATTATTATACAATATTATCACAATGAACGCGGTAGCCGGTTACCCACATAAAATTACGCGATCGCAGTACAATAGGCAGGTAGGTAGGTAGGTAGGTATTGGGCACGAAAAAAGCTAACGGGGACTACGCCCAAGCTCCGACGGTCGAGCGATATCGTTTTAATAAAAAAATTATCGTGGTAGATAGCGGAATACCGTGGCAGACGTTTTGACTTTTTTTTTTTTTTTAAAAAAAAATATCGTAGCAAACGATTATAGAATATCCATTGACCCTCTATTCGCTTAGAATCTATCACCGTTCGAAACCACAACGAAAAGAAAAAAAATAATTAAAAACAATTTAATGTGAAACGATAGTGGGCCGTCATAACCTCAGTTGAAGTTCAACACGACGTTTCAGACCACCTGCAAAAACTTAAAGATGAATTTAATCGATATTTCCTAGAACATGAATACGGTTTAGATCCGGGGTATGATTCGAAATCCTTTTATTTTTTAAAGTTTACGAGTCGTCCTATCGGAATAATGGCCCGTGCGGTCCGTAGTGTCGAAAAGCGGTTGAGACCCACTGTGGTTTTGAACGGGTTAGACAATATTATTTTAATATATTGTGCCGACGACGCCTTTTACACGCCTTGTATACCGCACGATACCCGTGACGATATCGTTTTATAAAACGATTACTGTTTATTACGATGTGCGGACATCGCGCGACCACAGAACGACAATATTATTACATAATGTACGTTAAACCGTGAGGGCGTAAGTACAAAACACCGTTTCGGAGTTTTATTGGATATTAATTTAAAAGAACCGGGAGCACGGGAACGGGCGTGCTGTCTTCGTAAACGATAAGGTACGAGACGTATATACGTAAAGCTAATCGATTTATATCCGTACGCGGCGATGAACCGTCACTAACGGAAAACGATTCTGAGCCAATGTTACAGACGATAATACCGTATTTTCGTTCGTCGATATCACGGTTGGGGAAAAAAATCGATTTTTTAAAATTTTTCTAGGACCGTATAGCGTATGGTGAAGCTCGTTTATCAATCAAAGTCCGTTTCCGAAATTAAAATCCGTCAAACCCGATCATCGCTTTTTTTTTGCTGGCTTTTCCGTCGGTAAAAACGGCCGTATACCGATACTCGGCGGCAGATTAGTTGAAAAAGCTTTAAAAAAAAAAAAAAAAAAAAATCTGAGGCAATTTTGAAACCCGACTCCGAGCCCCCCTTAAACACGTCACCAGTGCCGGAGTCAACGATAATATGGGACACTGTAACCGGCGTCCGGCGGTATTTTGTTCCGTCTACACCGATTCGACTTGACGCCCCGCGATTTAATTGATCGATCGCGAAACACTGTAGAATTATATTCGGGCCCATCATACCGACCAAATATCATTCGATCGAACGTTTTGTCGTGCCGTACCTACGAACTTATTAATATTATATTTGACCCCCCGGCAACAAAATTGAATAGCGTTAAACCGTCGTCGTCAACGTCGAATAATAATAATCAACGATGATTGAATAATAATAATAACAACGCGAGATCCGATAGATAGCCGTCAGATGATAAGGCCGACAACCGACTCCGCAGTCGGAAATTCATTGGGAATTTGCGCCGCGGATTATAATAATATGCTATTTAGTTATTAAAAAAAAAAAAAAAAACAAATAAATAAATTGACTTTTTTATTTCACCGTCATGCCCGTGCAATTAATAATTTATACATCGTGCGATATTGTTGTATTATTTTATACAGTTATCATTATAACGCACGTCGCGACTGTGATAATCGAAAAATCGTTTATATATGTATATCGCATTTAAAACTATAAACGTAATTATATAATAATAATTGTAAATCGTGTAATAAATATTTAAATGTTCGTTATCGGGACGGACAATGGTCGGTTTTCTCGAATGCCACGATGTATTGCGACCCAAAGAGGCGTTTTTTAATGAATATGAAAATGCATGTCCAAACAACCCGGAGGGGTGCTAAGGGAGCCTAGCAAAAGCTCGACGGGCGGCTAGACCGGATCTTTCATTTCACTTTTGCACTTTCCCCGAATACCTCGCTATTACCTGCACCAACGCGACGAGAACATTTTTACTATTGGAAAAAAAAAGGTTTTGTTACATAAAATCTACCATTTCAATCGTTCGCCGCTCATTTTTTAGCGGCACGCAGTAAGCAAAACACTTACTCCACTGCAGGATGTCCGACGGAATTTACTGTGCGTCCATATGGACACAGAACCTCCGATAAAAAAATACACTGAAAGTCGGTAAAACGGTATTTGATATAACATTAGAATTAAGAATTTGTAGTGAGTGCTGCTAATTTTATATTTTACAATGATATACTTTTTTAACACTAAGCAAGATAATGGTTTTTAAACTAAAAATAATGTAGAAAATCTTCAGACCAGTGAAGTATAATAATAACATAGCCGGAAAGTGATAATTTGAGAAAAATATATATTTTGAAAATAGTCAAAACCAGAAGATTTAGAAGAACCGGCTATTATAGATACAAAAAGAAGCCAACAATTTTTTTAAACAAAATATTTACCAGAAATTTTAATCCGATTCAAAACAACTTTATAGAAATTTAAGTTCCTTAAATATAAAAAAATATATTATAGAATGTGTTATCTAGTTGGCGCATTAGGGAGGTAACTTTTTGATTTTTTTTGTAGTTTTCTTATTAAAGTAACTTGTAAAGCTGGTCATCTTTTTGTTGATTTCTAAGTTACCGTGGCAACAATGGTAAAAATATGAATATGAATACTCTGTTAAAAATCATTTTTCAAAAATTAAATTACTCCGTACGTTCGCACTTCCAACTTATCCCCTAAACAGTGACACGCCTATCAGCAGTAACAGCCTTTCTGATTTTAAATACCGATCTTTTCGAGGATTTTCCAAATGCTGTTTAAAGGGTTTTTAATGCGCACAGTAATATAGTACATGAATTATATAATAAACCTACAATATGAGTCGAATGGAGAAAACAACGATTGAATACTAATAATCCGGTGTGGTCGTCTATTGCAGCAGTCTACCGCGTCCAAAACACATTCGAGTCACACAAAACACACAAAAGGCTGAAATTTCCGTCGTATCGTTAAACGCGGTTTACGGGGGAGTGCCACAAGCGACAAAATACCACTCAGAGACGCGTCAAGACCACTTCTCCGCAGGCGTTATGATGAAAATGAACGCCTTCCATGCCACTGCAGTCCGTTTATAAAGCGGCCCTTTCGGACTCGGCAATTCTACACGATAATATTATAATTTAATATTCTACCAGACCCGAGAGTAGTTAATATTATACAAAATACACCGATTTAAGTGTATAATATTATACTATATAGGTAATGTCTGTAAATCGACGGAAATAAAAATACAATATTCATATTGTTGAAACCTTGACGGTCAGATTGCATTTTTTATCTAAATCAAACGACTAATATGACTATTTTTTTTTTTTAACCCAAGTACAATTCGATCTTGCCCATTGAAACGTTCCGTATATACCAGAGCTCCCTCGCTTTATATCATGTGCAATGAAAGTTGTTGAGCTATAATTTTTTCGGTGTTACTGGTTGAAAATACGATTTGCGCGAAGTTATAGAACTGTGAAAGCCGACGGCAGGCGGTTTTTCTCGATCAAAAAATCGGGATGATAATAGTCTATAATACATGGATGAATTTTGTGGTTAGAATTTTCGGGTCGAAAATCACGCGGTTCTATTCTTGCGGTTAAGCGTCTGCTACTCTTTGGTCTCTGGGATTAGGATTCGCTATAGGCATTTTGGAATTTATCCGTTTCACTGTTTACCTTAATAAATTTATATATATTATTTTGATAGACTTATATCGAATGTGTCATCGATTTTCGCGCGGGTTATCGACAGGATCGGTTTGACATATTTTCGACTGCAAGTTTTCGGACTATGAAAATTCGGTATTCGCCGCGCGCGTCGCATAGGTACATAACATTATACACACAGCGTACTGCAACAAGAATAACGAGAATCGGTTTGTACAATTTCAGATTTACCTATACATACGTCTAAATTAGGAGCGTTTCTAATCGAACAAATAGGATAACGTGAACGCCGACAAAAAGAAAATAATAATAATCGCCCAAACATTATGTCGACGTACGCGTGTGTATAGTAACCTGTATATAGGTATAGTAATGACTGTCCTAATTTCACAAACCGATCCGTTATGAATTAAATTTTACATTATCCGGCTGTATCGAAATCGTACGTACGATTGAATCACGTAAGTATTGTTTTGTGTTAAACTATATAATATGTGACCCACATGTTTAATAATAACGATACTGCGCCGAGCGAACGCTATCGAAAATTGTACGACTATCGTACTACGTCGGGTTTTTTTTTTTTTTTTGGCACGGGTAAAAAAAAAACGCTTTTCAATAATGATATTGTTCTACGCGCTTTCGGCGTGCACAGCGGCCGTAACACTAATAGAACGGGGATAAGAATCTGCATGCCGAAGACGGTGATACATTTCCCAAACAGTTTATACACATACGAATATAATCCCGGGGACCGAATATTGTACCCACGGGGAAATTCGCCGTTCCGCGGTGTAGACCTTTGAATCGAAAAACAAATTCGGTTTCGAAATGTTCAGGCATTTTTTCCTCGTCTTTATAACAACAACGGGTCGTTTGTTTTTGTGAGCGGTGAAGAGGAGAATATCGAGGTTTCGTCGATTTGAAATCGTTTTATAGGCGGGTACAGAATTGTTTATTCGGCAATAGCGGCTTCGGTTTAAAATTACATAACATCATTAAACGGTATGGCTCGGATATAATACCCAGGACCGGATAAGCGTATAAATTAGGCATTATAGGCGATTCGGTACAGCGATAAATTGTAAAAAGTGCCAAGAAGTCCATATCTCGATCAAAATATTAATTATTTACATTTTTTACGGTTTTTATATAGTAATATATTCTTATCTGTATCCATTATTGCGTGTATATTTTATATGTTACCAATGACACAAACTAAAACCGTTATAAACCGCGGCGGTTAACAATCATTATCAATTATCGGTAACTAATTTACTTTTAAACTGTATGTTTATGTTTTCGGTTCGGCTTTGGGTGATCGTCACGATAATTGCACTAGAACATTGCAATATGAACATTGAACATTATCAAATCGATAAGTGAGTTTTAACTATTAGTTGTACTTGTCCAGTTTTTTAAATTGATACTCTCTTATTTCATATTTGAAGTTTATTATAATTGACTGATTATGTGCATGTCATATATTGTGTTAACTGAATGTTACAGATAATTTCAAAGTGTATGGGGTAGAGGCCAACAAAAGTTTAGGGTACTAGTGCGCGGATAAATTTATCGCCTTTAGACGTATTTCTCCTTAATCCGACTCTGATAAAACCTACTGGATTTCGTAAAACAAATAATCGATAAGGTTTTGAAACATTTTTCAATTGATATGGATCGCGGAATTGTATAGACGAAAGCCTATATTATACGGTCAGAAAATATCCGCTTACACAAACAGAATTTTCATATGCGAGGAGATTGCATTTATTAACCGAGCTTCTAACATTGAAACTCGTTTGATGGAAAAAAAAAATAGCCAGACGCCCGAAGAAATTTGAGAACGTTGTTACCTAAATAGAGTATGTATGACACGAGGGGTTGTTCTTTGTTTGGTTTTATTTTTGTGTTGTATTATCGTGACGTCGTTAAAATTAAAATTAATTATTTTCTGTAGATTGGAAACGACATAGAGTTATCGTTATCGTTGCTACAATAACCGTTAAAAATGTAACGTTCGAAAAAAAAAAAAAACGAAATCACGCGCTACAGTCTAAGCTACAGTTATACCGACAAAATCCATAATTGCTCGGAAAATTGGTTCGATATCGTATTATTCAAATTTAGAAAACGCGAACATAATTTTTAGGGAATTTTAGCGTTTTGAGAGCATCGTTGGCGGTATTGGATAGAAAAAAAATCGAATTGAAAATTTAATACATTTTACGTTCAGGTTTTTGACACACGCTAACACGAATTTCAAGTAACTAACGAACTATATCGAATAGGGGTATTCGACGAGAGGCGGCGAATATGGCGAAACTAACGTGATATATTTAGAATCACTAAAAATATTATATTCAATAATCTGTTGTAGCAATTCAATCGATACCGATACGTTTGACGACACCGCCGTTCAGTACGAGTGTGTCCCGCGTTGAAAGAAGTCAACGTGAAGGATGACCAGTTTTGCCTGCACAATTTGTTTGTATTTTTTCTATTAAAATATCATTTTTAGCGAAACTATATAGTAAACGAAAAACTTGCAGCGCGTTATTTAGAATTGCCAAGACATTAAAGCATTTCGTTTTTTCACATAATTTTTTAGGGTTTTATAGGGCATTGTTACATATGCCCGGTCGTACAGTGAATGGTATTTCCAGAACGTATATCATTCATTTTCCATACTTCGTTCAGACAGTTTAAAGCAACTCCGCATATAATGACACAAAGTGACTGTACGCAATTATATAATGTAATACGCCGTTAGGTATACATATAGGTCGATTCTAACATTAAATCATGACTTTACGAGTAGGTAACGCGTAACGATAAGGTGCCTATTAATAATAATAACACGCTATGCGGTTTACTCGCTTAAGCTTTTTTCTCGGTTAGTAATACGCAAAAAAAAAAAAAAAAAGAAGAGAATTTATTACGAAGAAAAAAAAATCGTTAAAACGTTTTCACTTACGATCGCAGAAAACCGCGGAAAAAAATATTTAACACGATTAGCTGCAGCAACGAATTTCGCACGACCATGCAGGTACACAAGTGTATATAATACACTGTATAAATAACAATATTTATTATTTTTTTTTTTGAATGAACCGCACGAACCGTAGACGACTAGAGGGAAAATTATTTCAAAAACACGTTTTTCTTAACGAGAACTGTTGTTTATTACGGCGCCGTGTTTTGTATGCGCAGTGTTTTTCAGCTGCTATTAAAACCCGATGGCTACTATGTTTACACTGCGACCTAGTTCGGCGGATCGTATGCCTAAGCTATATGTACCATAATTGTTAATTAGTAAAATGTGTGTTGTTGTCGTGGCGCGAAGCGAATTTATTTCAACCGGTCACACACGGAACGGATTGATGATAATTTGAACAAAGCAAACCTACGGCGCGGTTATGGATCCTGAGCGAGACGAGAGACGAAAACGGCTTTTCCGGCAAACGTCCCTGAGAATTTGAAAATTTCGCAGCGACATTCTGGTAGCGTTTTTCTATCCGGTTTGCGCATTTAGGTCGTGTTTAGATTTTTCTCGCAGTTATCACGATAAACGTGAAAAACCTGCGATTTGTGTGTTACCTAGTCAACAACAGCAAGCGTACGACTATAACGTACTTTATACCCAGTTCAAAAACGTTTATCGTTAACGTTGGTTTGTTGTTGCGTCCTCTCTTCGAAACTGCACCCGAAATACTTGTAACAATTTTGAAATCCAACAAAAATAATCGCTGCGCACATTGTAAAAACGTATTCAATTATTTTTGTTAATGTAAATTTTATTGTATAGATAAAAAAAGTGACGCGTTAACATTAAAAATCTGGCTTAGTGGAAATATACTTGTTAGTAGTACTTATTCCGCATTAGGTATGCGCGTACATTGTATAATATATTCCGAACATTTAATTAGTTCATAAATTATTAAAAAAAAATTTCAAAAATTAAAAAACAATTTCCGAGAAAACAGTTTTGTATAATACTTAAAATAATAAAATCCCCGGGCCGTTCGGAATATAAAATAAATATAAATAATATAAAATCTCGATTTATGCGTAATAACGACCTCTCGCGTTTTTTTTTTTTTTTTTTATGGAAACGATGGATTTACAAATAAATTATAATAAATGTTATCCTTGCGGCGTTTTGCAAATTTAAAGTATCGTAAAAGTTGGTGTAAAAATAACGGTTGAAAGACAGAGAAACGCAGAGTAAAAGGTAATAAAAAAAAAACCGACATGCTTCACGCCCTGGAAACATGTCACTAATGTTGGTGTAAAGCTGGAAAGATAGGATACATAAGATGTAATTTAAATTGGCACGCAATAATAAATCGTTGCAAACGGCCAACGATTCTGAGCGAAATTCGGTTAAATGGGAGTTGTTAAACTCTGATTGAAATTTAAATTTTATACGTATTCTCGTCTCAAATTTTTGAGCATTGTTATAAAATCACAAAAAAAAGGTTATCCACATAAATAAATACTTATTATACGCGAAATTTCGTGATTTGCGCGATTTCTATTAATATTTGGAATTTAAACACGTACAAAAATAAAACGTAAATACCGATTTTCGACAATCTTAATATGTTGTCATAAGAACAACTTACGACGAACCTTGTATCAAATTTCCAATTGTATACAAAAATCCAATAAAATTGTGTTCACAAAAACCTAACGAAAACGAAACAATTTCAAATGTTTATACATTATAAGTTTATAACACAATGTTTTTTGAAAATTGTCTGATGTTTGTGCTACGGACGTAGCATATTTTGTTAATGAGTGTTATATTTTTATACAGCTGTTGATATTATTTTCTTTACCGTGAAATTAAACAGATTTTTTTCATTATTTTAACTGTGGGATTACATAATTAGTTTTTAGTTTTCCGAATTGTAAAAATTCAAAAATTCATTATCATGACGATTTTATTACGTACAATGTGCATTATTATTGTTTAGTTTTTAACAATTTACAATTCTATTGGCGTAGATATTATACTATACAATTTCATTATTTTAATTAATTCTCGTGTTTAATTTTTATTAATTTTAAAGTCTCGCGTTCGCGCAATGCTTGAAAATTCTGTTAATAATTGAATGTTGACCATGCAGAGTAAAATCTATGAAAACAAATTCCATGATGTTATTTTAGCAGTTGAAAACGATTTCCATTCAATAAATGCATTTTAAAATTACCGACCAACGAATGAACTGATACAAAATACTAAAAGAGAAAATAAAGAGCTGATAATGCTCGTGTGCTAACATTGTAGGTCGCTACTATTATTTTTAAACAAATTTAACATAAAAAACCAAATCGAAGGTAGTAAAACCATTACTGCTTATCAACGTTTTCCCAATTATTACGAAAACTACAAGAAATATAAAATCAACTAGATAGAATTTTCTTTTAACAAAAATACTACACTAAAAATTGTTTACAAACAGAAAAACACACATTATCGTAAAACCAATAGATTCTTCTAATGTAAATACAAAAAAAAAAAAAAAAAATGATAAGAAACAAGATTTCAGGGCAGTGTTACATTAAAAATTGTCTGTTATTCCAATTATCGTAGTAAAATAAATATAATGCATATCTAATAATAATTTCACCCTTTCTACTACTAGGCAAGTACTACTACTAGTACTAATTTATAAAAGTTTTGACTCCGATTAAAAATGTATGACCGTTTTTGTACAACTGCCTCAGAATATGAGACATGAATATAATTCTTATACTCAGCAATCGTATTATAATGGTATGTTCACAAACAAATTTGGGAGACAAATCAAATATTTTGTGCATCTGAACGTTTTCTATTAAAAACTTACTCGCAGTTAATTTGTACTGGATATAACTGATTATAATAACTAGAACAAAATATCTTACCGATGATATTCGATTCTTTACTGCTATAATAATATATTAGAGCGTTTTCCATAATAGATCTTACCTGAAAAATAACAAATAAAATACTACGTTAATATGAATATTTAACTATGCGATAATTAAAATACAATAATACACAGGTAGAGCTGTTCGGTTATTTCGATCGATCGAAACGGGCTCGATTAATCGTCATAATCGATTGATTTGAAATTAATTTTTTATATTTAGATACAAAATACACGAACGTTTTAATAACGGTTAGGTTTCAGTACACGCCCAATACAACAGCTTATCACTAATACGCATCAAAGTTTATCTCCTATCCGTTTAAGATTCTGATCGTAGTGACTAGCGAAACGCGTATTGGTTTTCCTATGAGCCGCATGCGCCGGTTTTTTTATTTGATCACGATGTTAGCGTAATTTTTGCGAACAAATAAATGCAACAAAATAAAAAAGTACACCGTTTCTATTTTACAAAAAGTTCGTAAATAACTTAAATGTTAACAAAATAACTGATTCGAGATAAAATCATTTATTAAGAGAAACAAATGAGTTATTTTTTAACATTCTATTTACTGTAATCACGTTAACAGTTATACAAAAAAAAAAGTGCCACATTATAACTTAAATGTTCAACTGCCCAGGTATATATAATGGTAAGGCTATACTGGGGCTATACTAGGATACTGGGCCAAACGTGTATAACCGTACGAGCATAATAATATGATTTTGCGAATTCGAACGCGGTTAATTGATGTGTATTATGCAAATAGAATTTTGTTCAACTTTGGTGTAGGAAATTAATACAATTTGAATTAAAACTCGATATCGTTTTTTAATGTATTATAATCTATATGCATTATTTTATTCGTAAAAGTTAAATGTTTCGCAATCTGAATTTTTAAAGACTCGTTGATAAGTATTGCTGCTAAAGGGTATTCGTATATTTTAAGATTTATCGCCACGGCGTTTTGTATACACAAATAATAATAAAACTATTGAAAATATGATTTTTTTTCTTTTCTTTTAATATGAAATATTAGCTCACACGGTACCTATTATACATAAGAGAACGTTAGGCAATCTGGTTTCTGTTAATTTGACCGGTATACTTGTACACAGGAAAACCATACGAAATCGAAGTATAATTTTAACACTGTTCTAACGAATAAAAAAAAAAAAAAAACACATTAAAATCCGAGACATTACAATATTATAGGTAATACGCATTATCTATTATAGTTTGTTGCGTACGCGGGCAGTCCGCTGTAAACCTCGTACAATAATTATATACTTATGTCGAAACGGTCTGGACGTAACAACGTTGATTATAAAATTGTTAACAACACAAAGTGAAAAAAAAAAAAACAACCGAATTTGACAAGGCGAGCAGTAGCGATTTGTGCGAAGGTTTATCACCCGGCGAAAAAATAAAATGGAAAAGCGACGGAGTCTAATCAGACGGCAAACGAGCAGCGATAATTCTCGAACGTGCACGTGCAGCGTAACTACTACACGTCGTAATGTTCCAACGCGACCGGCCGATACGTATCCGTACGCGCCGGGTGTGCGCGACCGTCGTACCGTTCATTACGTAATACGCACTTTGAAACCGTCGACGGACGGGCGCGTACGGGCGACGCGCGAGCGTAGCCGAAGGTTCGGTAATCTGAGCGGAAAAGTTGGCGAGACCGAAAACGCCGCCGGCCGCGCGGCGGCAGGGCCGCCGGTTGTACCGGGTCGTTTCGCGCGGTACACCGTATACTGCGGTATTGCGTACTCGTAAACCAAACGCGGATATCGTAACAAAGACGTCAAACGAATTATTGTCGTCGCATGCCGGACGGTTAATTTCCGAAACCGTAGACGACAGGCGAACGACGTGTTGTTATGGAGGACAGAACAACGATCCGATGTTCGTCACTTTTTTTTTTTTTTGGTTACATTTTGCGCAATATATTCAAATTGTGATTTTTCGGAATTTTTAATTTTAACTTCATTAACTACTTCTGGAATTTGTTTTCTATAACATTTTCAATACATGCCGGTATGGTACACACGTCATAAACGCGGTTATTGATTTGCACCCGACGCCTTATATGCTGATTATGATTATTGAGCTCCGTGACATTTTAATGGGGGAGGGAGAGTGTACAATTTCACCGGTGATTATCGATCCTCCCTTCCGATGATTGGATGTGGGAGGAACGGTAAATTTTCGCGGTTACACCGGGACGTACAGTGAGGATTATTATTGTGTACGTGACAATTATAATACTATAGCAAAACAATAACCTGTAAGTCGAAATGGTGCAGCTATAGGTAATTTGAATACTCAGCGTAAAAAAGGGAGGGCGAGAACATCATTAGGTGCCGGTTGTGGTACAATACGAAATCGCGGTTATCGACGTCGAAATGAGAGGTGACATTCCAACAATTACGTACCAAGCCAACATTTGAAAAAATCGAGTTTCAAACGTCGTTTCGTATTTGTAAAAACGGCGAAAAATCGTTTGCCACTGTCGGAATTAAACTCCGATCGCTTTTCCGCGTGAAAAACCGGGTCTAAATACGCAGAGATAATCCAAAGATACCGAGTACTATCGCCACACCATAAATTGCTGACCAAAACGTACAATTTTTGTAACGTACAATAATTGCCCGTGTTTAAACCGTACACGAAATGATCAATACAGAAGGGCTAAATTTTCGGCAACAGTACGTTTTTGGAATATCACCTCACAATGGCATTGGGGAGGGGAAAAAACCCGAATTTAAAGAAAGGCGAACACTATACATGAACTGCACTAACTGCAGTAAGATTATTTATGATTATTTGTTCGGGTGTTCTCGGTTCTCGGCGTGTCTCTATTATATTTCGATCCACACAAACGAATACCCTGATGCCTGCCGACAATATGCCTTATTGTGACGGTGCCCCTGCAGCGGTGGTCCATACGGTATATTAAATTTCGTACCTACGCAATGCCGCCATATGGGTTTATCACAGCAACAATACAAATTCCGATTTACTTATTTGCCCTCGCGAGTTACTATTATATTATATACCCGGAAATTTATCATGTTAATTCGGAATGTCAAACAGAATATGTTTAAGAATTCGATTAATGGTTTTCGGTTCAACCGGTTAAAATATCGATCTTATTGAACGTTAGCGAAAACAATCGTTTGTCGGAAAAATCAGCGTTTAAGTGTTTTTAAAAAAAAAAAATAACGGACTTTCGGCTACACGGTATTACGGTTTTAGGCGTACGCGCGGCGCGTTACCACGACAATATAACGTACAGTTTTATCGGAGCGTGAATCGCGTGTAATAATATGTCGGGTGTCAATATCGAACGCCCGACCCGCGGTGTGTATTTATTATATACAGTGTGCGCATATTCGTGTATATCATTGTGTATCATAACATTACAACGGATATCGTCTCGGCGGCGCATGACTCGCGCGCGCGACAAAGGCC